GGGGGGGGGGGGGTCATCTTGGCTTTTAAGGGTCTTTCTATGAATGCTGAAACTATAGAGTCTCCAGAGAGGGGCAAAGTGTTGGCAGAGGCAGCAGCTTCAATTTCATCCTGCAGAAAGAGACTCAGTGAGGGACAGAGACAGCCACAGGAGCAGGGGTCATTATGCATCCCTGTTGTATTTTATTTATTTAGCCTTTATAGGAGCTGACTTAAGAGCCCAGCACCTCCTTAAATGTTTGATTGATTCACTGTTTCCAGGAGGAAAAAATACAGAGATAAAGCAGAATATATTGGAGCTCCCCCATCCAGAAAATAAGGTCCATTAGGCTCTCTGTCTGTCTACATTCCTCTATGTCTCTCTCTCTCTCTCTCTCATCTCTCATCTGCCTCGTCACGGCCTGACGACTCAAAAATAAAGCAAAAAGAGAAATCGCAAAGAAACGCCACCGCGTCTTTTTCTTCTTTCTCTCTCTCTCTCTCTTTCTGTGTAAAAAATAAATATATAAAGAATAAATAAAAAAAGAAAAGAGGGAAGTAGAAATGACTTTTGGCTGAAAACCTGTTTGGAAACTCGCCCGCTAGAATACAGATGAAGCACATTTCCTTCAGCAAACAATGAATAGATCTGTGAGATGTGCCCGCTGCCGTTCTCAGACCTATAGCGTTAGTTTATCCTGAAATGTGGAATAATTGTTATTTCGTCGATTATAAGTGCGACTCAAAAAAAACATGTTAATAAACGGTGTATTTTATTCGTTTAAAAAGATTAAAGATTTGATTCAAATAATATTTGAGGACATAAAGAATAAATGACGCCTGCTTCCATTCTGTATCTTTTCTTGCATATTTTCAGGGGACAAAGTTTAGTTAAAACAATATTAAAAAAAATTCTATAATCCAGCCAATAAATTCTCAGACTTCTTTTCCTTTTTCCTTTTTCTTTTCCTCAGGCGAACTCATGAGAGGACCATGCACTAAGTATAGGCCACAGCAGCCTCTCCTTATTATTCAACATCACTATTACCATTACAATACGTGATTATGAAATTCAGCTCATTATCATCACAATTACCTGCTATAGATTTTTAAAACATCACTGCCAGCCTTTGAAAACCAGCCATGAAACCATGAAACACGCTCCAGAGTCAGCAAAGTTAAAACCCAACAGTCACGGTGTGTCACCAA